CTTACCATCATGAGCACTGAGTAATGCGTAGAATTTTTGAATTACTATTTTGTACATCTGAAACTAATATAACACTATGTTAACTACACTGGAATTAAAGTTTTTAAAAAGAGAGAGAGAGAGAGAATGGTACACTACAAGCCAGAAGGAAGAAAAAGGCTGGCTGCCTTTCAATTCAATGACTGTGCATAATGTCTTGTCCCCCAGTAAAAACATGGCCCAGTGAATTTCACAAATCTTAACTACTCATATATCTTTTTCCTCCTTCCTGTGGGGACCATATGTGTTTACTTCTCATATTCCTTTTGATAGATGTCTTTCATTTCTGACCATGCAGTTCTAAACACACTATTTGGAGGGAATTTCAAGAAAGAAGCTCAAGTGTAGCCTAATAGCTCCTAACCCAACAACGAAGTCTCTAGAATTTGGGTATGTGACCTTCTAGTCAGATGCTCCTAAGACCCTGACCCCATAGTAACACAGAGAAGCAAATGGCAGTTTTGAATCTTTCAGGAGTAGTAGAAGAACCAGTAATGGAAGCATTCAATGTCCAGAGGTAGCCAGGCCAATGACAGAAGCTGCTGGATAATAACCAGATTCTTCCTGAGTATTGATCTGGTCTCTCTTTTAGTTGCCTAATTTCCAGTGGCTTCCTGTCCATGTTCCAAACCTCATTCATTAACTTTTCCATTAATTTTGTGAGCTACCCATTGACCTTACAATGCATTCCTTTTCTAACTAACCTAAGTTGGTCTCCATTATATAGGAACCTGGAAATGATTTGTATATTCCCCTTTGGTGTAGAAGTCACCTTTTCTATGAAGATAAAAAGATGAGGGAAAGGGCTGCCTCCTAATCAGTTGCCCCTATGTCAGGTGGCCATCTCTAATCCAGAAGAATCCATTACTGTGATTTTGGTGGTGATCCCTTCTTTGTTTTTCTTTATAGTTTTCCCACCTACCTATGTATATATACCCCCAAAATGTAGTTTCATTTGGCCTGATTTTGAACTTTAGATGAATCAGGCTACATACATTCCTTTGTGCCTTACTTCTTTCACTCAATATTATGTTTATGGGATTCATTGAAGTTGTCAAGTAGAGCATGGCTGTAAGGTAACCCAGTATAACATTTCATGGCTTATTTATTTATTCCACTATATATAAGATGTTGTGTTGTATTCAGTGTGGGGCTGTAATAAACAAAACTGCTTTGAATATTCTGATATATGTATTCTAGGGGCATTCAAGGGCATCTACTTGGCAGTAGAATATCAATCATGGGTTGTGTGTACCTTTGACTTTCCTAGATAACACCAAACCATTTTCTGAAGTGAATGCATCAACACCGCCAGCAGGCTTCAGGAGTTTCTGCTGCACGGTGTTCTCACCAAAAACTGGTATTTTCAAACTATTTCATTTCAGCCACCCTGGAAGATGGCTAAAATGTATCTCAATGTAAAGTATCTCACTACAGTTATAATTTTCATTTCCCTGATTACCAGTGAAGTTGAGGATATTTGCATATGTTTATTGGTCATATTTTTTCTTTGATAAAGTCCCTATTCAAGTCTTTTGCTCATTTTTTCAATGTGATTATCCCTTATTGATTTGAAGGAGTTTTCATTATGTTGTAAAGGCTAGTCCTTTATTAATTATGTGTGTGATAAGTATCTTCTCCCACTCTGTACTCTATGGGGTTTCCCCCTAATTTTATGCTGTCTTTTGATGAAAAGAAGTTCTTTATTGTAATCTAGTCAAATGTATCAGTCTTTTCATTTACAGTTGATACTTTCTATGTCTTCTTTTAAAATTCTTTACCTTTGAGATCATAAAGATACTCTCTTATAGTACTTTCTAAAAACTTTAATTGTTGTCTTTCATATTTAAGCCTAGAAATGATTTTTGTGTGCGCTATGAGGAAGGGAATTTTTTTTCCCCATATGGATATCCAACTGTTCTAGCAGCTTTTATTGAAATGCCCGTCTTTTCTCTACTGCATCTCTGTCATACCCAAAGTGACTATATATGTTTGGGTCTGTTCCTAGGCTCTCTATTCTGGTTCATCAGCCTATTTGCCATTCCTATACTAATACTATACTGTCCTATTTACTATAATTTATAATAATTCTTGATCTATAATAGATCAAATTCTCCCAATATCTTTTTTTTTTAAAGATTTTTATTTATTTGACAGACAGAGATCACAAGTAGGCAGAGAGGCAGGCGGGGCGGTAGGGGGGAACAGGCTCCCCGCTGAGCAGAGAGCCCGATGCGGGGCTCGATCCCAGGACCGTGGGATCATGACCTGAGCCGAAGGCAGAGGCTTTAACCCACTGAGCCACCCAGGCGCCCCAACCACACACCCCAATATCTTGACAAATTTTGAACGTTTACACTTTGTAAAATTTTAATTTCCTTATCAAGTTCCAAAAAAACCAAAATGAACAAACAGCAATAACCACCTGAGAAAATTCTGATTTGAGATCTAATGTAATTTATAAATTAATTTAGGGAGAACGGTTACCTTTACCATATGGAATCTTTCAATTTATGATTTATAACAGCACTCCAACCAGTTTTAAGGGTTAACTTGCTTCAAGCTTATGCACTTCTTGCTTCCTGACCGAAATAAGTCCCTGGTCTTTGGCAGAACTAACTTACTTTCCTTGAGCTTTGTAGACCACTGGCCTTAAGGAGTGAAGGACCAAACTTCGCCAGAAGATAAGGCCTGATTACATTCTAAAGCGGCTGGGGCTGATGCCAGTAAGTCTGTTCAGGGTCATGTCGACATAGGACTAACTGCCTGGGCACCTGCTTCTCCTATAGATAGCCTCCCTCCCTTTTCTTCTGCCATCCACTTTAAATCCCTGCAGCTACACCTGGACAGTGATGATGGTCTTTGAGATGTGAAGCCACCATCTTCCAAGGCCCAGCTTCCTAAGTAAAGTCACCTTTCCTCTCCCACCATCACTTGTCTCAATTGTTGATTTTCAAGTGGCAAGCAGCTGAAGCTGAGTTCAGAACCGGTTCTCTGGTAACAAACTCAGTATCCCTCCACTTATTTTAGGTCTTAATGTCACCCAATAATGTTTTATTATTCTCTACATAGAACTGGAACATTAGTGCAGAGGTCATGTAATTATGTACACTTTTATGCTTGTTATGTGTTCCTGATGAACAGAATCTTTCATCATGTTATCACTAGGAATGCTTTTTGATTGATAGTGATGGAGATGTATTAGCTGTATTTAGGTTCCAATTTAGGTTCCAATTGCTGCTGCTGTTAAAATTTCCACGAGCTTAGTGGCTTAAAACAATACAAATGTATTATTTTACAATTCCGTAGGTCAGAAGTCTGATACGGGTCTCACTGGACTAAAATCAGATGTTGGCGAGGCTGCATTTCTTGCTAGAGAGATAATCCATTTCCTTACATTTTCCTGGTTCTAGAAGCCCTTTGCCTCCACCTTCAAAGCAAAAAACATTGCCTTTCTCTTTGCCTTTCTTCTACAGTCGCTTCCCCTTCTGACTGATTCTTTTTCTGCCTCCCTCTTTTGATTACATTGAGCCCACTCAGATAATCCGACTAATTTCTATACCTCAAACACTTTGATTTAATCACACCTGCAAAATCCCTTTTGCCAAGGAAAATATCACCTTAATCTAAGTGTTTGTGTCCCCCCAAAATTCACGTACGTATTGAAATCCTGATCCCTAACACCCTAGTACTTAGAGGTGGGGTCTTCGGGGTGTGATTAGGAATGGGATTAGCATCCTTATAAAAGGGGCCCTAGAAATCTCTCTCAGTCCTAGCCCTGGTCGTAGTGGTTGCCCTCAGAGAAATCCTGGCTTTGGCTTTTGCTAACTGATCACTGTTGTAATTTCAATTTACTATTCTTAACCACCACCAACAAAAGCCCTCTCCCCACTTCCAGTTCCCACTTTGGAGATTCCTTACTTTCCCTGAAAATTTAATAATGGTTTAAAAATAACATCATTTTTCTCAAGTCTTTGGGGTTTTCTTGCTTGTCTTTTTTTTGGGGGGGGGGCAATGGAATGTGGTAGGCTGTATAATGGCCCCCACATAGGTCGCTATTCTAATCCCCAGAATATTACTTATATGGCAAAAGGCACTGGGCAGGTGTGATGAAGTTAAGGCTCTTGCTATGGGGAAATTATCCCAGAATATCTGGTTGAGCCCAATGCAATCACAAAGATCAGTTGTTTTAAGAAAGCAGGTGGAAGTTCAGAGAGGGCAAATTGAAGTAACTTGTGAGCTAAGGAATGCCAGCAACTTCTAGAAGCTGGAGGAAGTAGGGAATGGATGGATTCTCTCTTGGAACCTACAGAAGGAACAGTTTTGCCTGCACCTGGTCTAAATGTAATTGATTACTCAACATTGCCACTTGGATGTCTAATGTAAATTTCAAATTTGACACATAAAAAAGCAAAACTCCCCATTTCTGCCTTCAAAACACTTTCTTCAATTCGGTTCTTCCAAGTTGCTCACAATGTCTCCTTTACCTCATACTCCACGTATAATATATCCACAAATCTTACCAGCTCTTTTAAAATATGTCCAGAATTCAATCAGGGTTCCATCATCTCAATCACGACCTTTCTGGCCTAAACCACTATCACTATAGCTTGGATTACTGCAATAACTTCCTAACTGATAAGACCTTTCACCAGTTAATATAGATTTATTTTCCACCAGCTCTCTCTATATGGTCTCTGGGAGACAGAAGACTGTCTCTCATTTAGTGCAAAGAACCCCACCCCCACCCACCCCGTGCAACCTCACAGAAGCTCTACTTGCTAGAATGGATAAATATTTTATACCACTATGTATACAGCAATTCATTTAAGATATCTGTGTGAAAATTAGCTGTAGGAGCCTTTTACAAATTAAAGAAAAAAAAAAATCCAGAACAAAGCACTTAATTAGCAAGAGGGGTCAGCTGGCTGAAGCAGTTTCCATAAGCCTTCCCTGTTTACCTCAGCAGACAGGTTTTCCGTGTAAGCCAACACTTCTGTTTTTGATCACTGTAGGTGGGAAGTTTCTTGCTCCACTCGGCACCTCACCCTTAGCTGACCACCTAAATACCTCGTCCTCGTCCCGCCTCGGCGACAGGTGATCCCACAGAGCTTCAGGCTGGAAGATGCACTTGAACCTTCCAGACCTTCCCAAATGACACTGGAACCTAGACCACACGTACGACTTTAGTCAAAAAAAGGGGCACACTTCTCGTTGACCTTCTCCACTGTACTAGTAACTTAAAATTTAAAAGCCAGGGAAGAAACTTTCGAAGGCTGAACCTTCAACCTGGCTGCTGGTGCAGGAGCAAAGAGAACCCGCCAAAAAGCGTATTCCTCTCCCGCCTCTGGGGTTGATGGGAAGCGATATCGGCGTCAATCACCCTGACCCAAAATGGCAGGTTGTTCGATCACCCACTGGAAGAAGATGAAAAGGGAGAAGGAAAGCATCATTTTCTTGATCCATCATGGAGACAGAGTTTATACGGGGAGAAACAGTCAAGGACGACAAAGCATCCAGATGTTAGAAACTGCTGGACTACCGACGGAGGTGACTCTGACATAATCCAAGATGGCGCCAGAGAGTATAACCCGGAGCGCAAAGAGGCGGTGATTACCGTGATCCAAGATGGCACTGGCGTTTGAAACGAGCTGAAAGGCCGGGAGCGTCAGGAGTGTCTTTGCCCTCTTTCAAGATGGCGGCCGCCGTGGGCGCTGTCTCTGGCTCCGCCCCGCGGACTCAACCCCGCCTCTCCCTCGTCCCTCCGCCCCCTCGCGGTGCCTTGTCCGGGCTGCTGTGTTCGCGCAGGGAGAGCGTGCTCGGGTGGCTTGACATGGCGGCAGCGGCGGCGACTGCAGCGACGAAGGGGAATGGGGGCGGGGGGGCCCGGGCCGGGGCCGGCGACGCGGGCGGTGCGCGGAGAAAGAAGGGCCCAGGGCCTCTGGCCACGGCGTATCTGGTCATCTACAATGTGGTGATGACGGCCGGGTGAGGCCGGGGCTCGGGGAGGCGGGGAGTAAGCCGGGCCGGGGAGGGGGCTCTGCGGCCGGCGGAGCGGCCGGCCTAGCGCGCGGGGCAGCCGGGGCGGTGGGTGTCCGGGGCGGGGTTCCGGGGCATTGAGGGCAGCCGAATCGGACCAGGTGCCTGCCCGGGACTCCCCCCTGGGCGAGGGGCCGAGCAAGTTCTCAGGCACTGGGTGTGCCCGAGCTGGAGTTCCCGGGCTCCAGTGGGACACGGGGAAAGTCGCCCTGGCGCTGGTCCCGAGGGCCTTGGGAGGACGGGTGGGCTGGTCAGGGGTCAGTCTGGGCTGGGTGGGTGGGGTGCGGCGCGGCGTGCAGGCTATCCTGCAGCGCCGAGGAGAGCCCCGGCGGCTAGTCACGAATACGAGCCATTTCCCCCAAGGGGAGTAGAGGGAGCTGTGGCTGCAGAGTGACCATTTATTTAGGCGGCTGTTTTCAAAGTCCAGACTGAGCTTTAATCCGAAAGGTAATGGAAAAGCGTTCAAAGTTTTTGACCAGTGACATGAGCAAAGCTGTGCTTTAGATGAGCTGAGACTTTTTAGGATGGATTGGGGTAGGGAAGGTGGAAGGCAGAGTTACTGGGGAGGAGGGAGATAGACGCTTTAAACAGGTTTTACCTCCTCTTGTTTCTCCATTTTAGCCCATCCCTTGTCACAGCAGGTTTTTAGTTCTAGTTCTGACGCTATCTGTGTGACCTTGGATAAATCACTTTGCTTTTCTTGTCCTCAGTTTTTCGTCTGTAAAACTAAAGAGTTTGGATTAGGTGATCTCCAGGGTTCCTCCAGTTCTTTGACCCCTTAGTTTTGGTGCGGAGGATCACAGGATCAGACAATTTGTTATGTTTTTCTTTTTTATATTTTATTTTTAAGTAATCTCTACACCCAATGTGGGGCGCGAACAAACAACCCAGAGATCAGTAGTCGCTTGGTGTACCGACTGAGCCAGCCATCATTTGTAAAAGATTTTCGCTAACATTTTATTATGAAAATTTTCAAAGATGCAGAGAAGTTTAAAGAATTGTAGGGTGAACATCTAGTTTTATTTATTTTTAAAATGGGTACTACATTGGCAGGTGCATAATTCAAAAATATACCCAAGAGCATACAGTGAAACTCCCCCTCACCCTTCCCTTCCACCCAGATCCCCCTCCCAGAAGGTGCTAATTTTGTGATTCCTCCAGATGCTGATGAAAGCAAATCTGTACACACACATAGACACACGCCCTTTTTAACACAAATGCTAATGTCAGATTAGCATTTCAGCACCTTGCATTTTTCACACAGTTATATAGGGAGCATTGTAGACTTGATTGCTTCTTTAGAAATGGCTGGTGTTGAAACCTAGGTTCAGAGAGGTTGTGACTTTCTTGACTTGCTAGTAATAGATCTAGATCTAAAAACTATTTCCCTTGATTCCCAGGCCAGTGGAGAAATAATACAGATGCAAGTTTTCTTTATTGCATAAATGGTTAGAGAGTGATTTTTAAAAGAACCTCTCAGGAGTTAGTATTTGTATTTATATGTGAATTCTTGTAGGCAAGGCCATTAAGGAGAGCATTGGGCTGGAGAGAGATTTTAAGGTACACTGGGGAAGAAGGAAAGAAGCCTTTATTCCTGGGTGATGGAGGATGGGGAGTGGTGTCTTAAGCCAAGAAAAGAAATTGGGATTTTGAGAGAAAGTAGTTTTTTTTTTTTTTTTTTTTGTAGGTTGCTAGTCCTGGGACAGTTATACCATTAAGGATTTCATTTCTTTTGCAAATTCTTATTTGATATCTTTGTATGATAGTTTCTGAAAATAACATAGACCATATAACCCATTTCCTTGTTAGGATTGTACATTTGTTTAGGTAAATCTGTTACTGCTTTTATGGAGACAAACCTTAATAATAAAGGTTTAATAATAATCCTTTAATAATAAAGGTCCATTTGTTGCACTATGGTACTTAAAATTACAGGACTGGAGAAATTCATTTTGAGAAGGACAGAACAGAAATGTAACATTCACAGTGATATGCTTAAGTGTTCCCCTATTTTGTATTTTGTATTGATCTGGCACTTTTTTTTACTGAATTGATTTTGGGAAATTCAGCTAAGAAAATCTTTTTTTTAAACCAACCTTTTATTTTTACCTTTTTTCTTTTTTTGCTTTTAAAGATTTTATTTATTTACTTGACAGAGAGAGAGAGTGAGAACAGGAACACAAGCAGGGGGAGTGGGAGAAGGAGAAGCAGGCTTCCAGCCAAGCAGGGAGCCGAATGCGGGGCTCCATCCCAGGATGCTGGCATCATGACCTGAGCCAAAGGCAGACACTTAATGACTGAGCCACCCAGGCATCCCTTTTATTCTTATCTCATTCGCAATTTTAAAAGAGTAGGGTATGGGTATGTTTCTGTGAGATACTTGTGAAAACAGTTTAAAACATCTTTCCTCCACCCTATTATTATTACAGAGTCTTTGACTGCACAGGCCATTTAAAATTTTCCTTTAACAGCTTTTTTCTCTCGTCTTAGACTTTCTGGCACTTAATTTAGCTGCTCAAGGACCAATTTAGCTTATTCTCTTCATTTTGGCCTTGTTCTCAACAGGCAAGTTTGCCAAAAAGCTGAGCTCCAGATGGGTGAGGTGCCACTCTGCTTTTGCTGAGCACTCTTGCTTGGGTGCTGGTGGTGCAACATTTCTGTGCATTACATCTTGGCATTTGAGGGCCATAGTTGATAAATCTGGGTTACTGATTCTTGAGGTCACCTTTAACAGTATGTGTTGTCACCAAATTTTCTATTACCCCCAGTCCTATTGACCTACTTTTTTTTTTTTTTTTTAATATCCTGATTGCTATTTTTCCTCTTTCTCATAGGTGGCTGGTTATAGCAGTTGGTCTCGTCAGAGCATACCTGGCTAAGGGTAGCTATCATAGCCTTTATTATTCCATTGAAAAGCCTTTGAAATTCTTCCAAACTGGAGCCTTACTAGAGGTAGGTCCTGAGATTTGTTGTTCTTATTGGTGTCTATTGTTAAAAATTTGAAAACTTGCCACATGGCATACTATAATGTTGATGACTAGATTATCTTTTTGACAGTCTATATAAGGTAAAATCTCATTTAATCTATATTACCTAGAACATATCTTACATTCAGCTTCTATTGAAAATCAAATGAAATAAGCGTATAATAGGATTATTATTATTTTTTTAATTCTAGGGAAATCCTAGGAAAGTGTTAGCAAAGTCACTTACTTTCAGCAGCCAGGTTATAATGGAAACAGAGAAGCTGGTGAGTGTAGGATGTCAGACATGGTAGGTACAAGAAACAGTAGAGCCTGACTACATGCATCAAAACATTTTTCTTAAATAAATGTTCATCAGTTTCCCTGTATTAAGAATAGCATATCTAGTTCTGTCTCCTGGGGTCAGTATATGTTAGCATTTTTGAGTTGCAAGTGACAGAAATTTGATTCAGAGTATTTTGAGCTGAAAAAGGAATTTACTGGCTTTATAGTTGATAAAGATAAAGGGTTAACTTACTGACTCAAAGGAACCAACTCAGGAATGAGACCCAAGGATTTGACGTTGCCAGACTCTTTCCATCTCTCATCTCCTTTATGTCTGTTTCTCTTTGAATGTTGGTCTTAACCTCTCCTGCTGCAGACTGCCTTCTCCACATGATAAGAAAGCGGGAGGAGTTATTTTTCTCCGCATCTGTATCACAGTTCTAGGGAAGGGTTCTTTATGGCCTTACTTAGACCTGTATTGTGAGATTGTTGATTAGCCAGGTCTAGGACATGTGCCCATCCTTCTGGTCAAGGGACTATAGGCTTTGTTAATGGAAAAGGAGGACTGGGGTAGCTTTGGGCACACAGAATCAATAGTTACTATAGTTCATAATGGTAAAAAATGGTAAAAAAAAAACCTTCAGGTTGCAGCAAAAATCTGGTGTTCGGTTTCATTTCACTTAGCCTCCAGGGCAAGCCCATTACAACATTTGGATGGGTATTACCTTTTACCTCCAGGAATTGACATGTAACGCTTCAATCTCTCAGCTTCACATTTGAAACAGAAAGTTGTAGTTTTCCCTTTTTTTGGTTTTTCTCTCAGAAAGCTGAGGTTTCAAAACTGTCCATTTTACACATTTTAGACAGATGGTAGGGGGAAGTGAGCTTCCAGCTGTGAATCGAGGACCCATACTCTAACTCTGCTGGTTTGATCAGTTCTGTGAATTTGAGCAAGTCATTTATCTCTTGTCCACCCCTTCTTCTCATTTGTGAAATAATTAGGTTAAAGTAGGTTTCCAAAATCTCTTCCTGCCCTAACAGTTTGAGTCTCAGGGAACTTCAGCAAGTCCTTGTGTGGGCCATTTGTTAAACTTAGAGTTTAAAATTTTTTTTTTTTTTTTGAAAGGGGCCAATAGTAAGTAAATAGTATTTTGCCTCTCAGAGCTTTGGCCAAGACAGTTCTCTTCAGCTACAGAGAAGCTTTGGGGCCAAGGCCATGAGAAACTGCCCCAGTGCTTGACATGGTACACAGTTGTACTCGATTGGAATTCTTCAGTAATTTAAAGGGGTTCTATCTCTGTAAGCCTTTGTAGTATTGGAAGTATAATTTTTTAAATTTCAGTATGTCTTAGAGAAGGTAGTGACGTTAATGTGTTTTACAAAATCCACTCAGACACCAAATCTTAACACTTTGAAGGATTAGCCCATTTATCCCTATAGACTTTTTAACAGGGATTTAAGAAAACATTTTGGATTTTTGGTTTTATCTCTGTTATCCCCACTGAGAACCAATTAGGTGACAAATCCTGGATTTGATTTTGGGAAAAGAACTTTGCAAAATGAAGTGAGGACTCCCAGGAAGAGCGGGGAATTAGCTTTGCAGTTTCAGTTAACAGCAGCAGGCTTCTCAACCTGGGGCAAGAGAGCAGACTTAGGAAACTGTGTCTCCTGAGTTGTCGGTGAAGGAACGTTTCTTGCCTCTGAAACCTCTATCGTCTAATAATTACATGTGCACAGTGTCATTGTATTACAGATTAGTTATCCTTCTGGGAATGATTCATGTTTGACAGTATATCTTGTTTTCGAGAGGAGAAAAGGAGAGAATGATTCCAGGGAGGTCATTCATTTATATCTCTGTATGCTCAATATCGTTGTACTTTTTTTAACTGAAAAATAATTAACATACAGTTTTAATAGTTTCAGGTGTGAAATATGATTCAGCAGTTCTATACATTACTCAGAGCTCATCGAGATAAGTGTACTCTTAATCCTCTATCTGTTCACTTATCTCATGCCACCACCAGTTTGTTTTTGTATTTGAGTCTGTTGGTTTTTTTTTTTTAATTTCCCAACATTCTATATCTTTGATTTTTATCTTTTTGCATCTTTTTTGCCTTATTTTAAATTATAATTCTAATATAGTTAACATACAGTGTTGTATTAGTTTGAGGTGTACAATATAATAATTCAATAATTCTGTGTAGTACTTAGTGCTTATCATGGTAAGTGTGCTTTTAATCCCCATCATCTATTTCACCCATCCCCCACCCACCTTCCCTCTGGTAACCGCTGGTTTGTTCTCTAAAGATAAAAGTGTATTTTTTTTTTTAAGATTTTATTTATTTATTTGACAGAGATCACAAGTAGGCAGAGAGGCAGGCAGAGAGAGAGAGAGGAGGAAGCAGGCTCCCTGCAGAGCAGAGAGCCCAATGTGGGGCTTGATCCCAGAACCCTGGGATCACGACCTGAGCCGAAGGCAGAGGCCTTAACCCCCTGAGCCACCCAGGCGCCCCAAAAGTGTATTTTTTGATTTGTCTTTTTTTTTTCTTTGTTTGGTTTCTTAAATCCCACGTATGAATGAAATCATATGGTACTTATCTTTCTCTGACTTATTTCACTTAGCATAATACTCTCTAGAATCATCCATGTTGTTTCAGATGGCAAGCTCTTTCTTTTTTATGGCTGAGTAATATTGTGTGTGTGTGTGTGTGTGTGTGTGCGCGCGCGCACATCACATCATTGTACATGCACACCACTATAAATGAGGTTACTTACTTGTATTTCTGTACGCTGAATTTTTTAAAATATTTTATTTATTTGAGAGAGACATGAGGACATGAGCTGGGGGAAAGGGGCAGGGAGAGAGACAAGCAGACTCCCTGCTGTGTGCAGAGCCCAAGTAGGAGCTTGATTCCAGGACCCTGAGATCATGACCAGAGCCAAAGTCAGACACAACGTACTGAGCCACCCAGCTGCCCCTGAAGATTATTTGTTAGTAGGTTTTGTGGGAGTTTGCTTAAAAAGCGAATAGAGATTACTTGTTGTTTGTGAGAAGCTTCCAATTTTCTAAGGAAAATGTAACACTATGCTTTTCAAAAGATTTAAACATCAGGCAAGAGCAAATGGGATGGAGTAGTACAATAAAATAGATGATTTCACTTCTGAGGAAATTAATGTTTTGCAAAATGGGTGTGAAGATATATTGAGTCAGTGATACAATAATACAGCATTTTTATAAAAAGACACAAATCCCGGGGCGCCTGGGTGGCTCAGTGGGTTAAAGCCTCTGCCTTCGGCTCAGGTCATGATCTCAGTGTCCTGGGATCAAGCCCCACATCGGGCTCTCTGCTCCACAGGGAGCCTGCTTCCCCCTCCCTCTCTGCCTCCCTCTCTGCCTACTTGTGATCTCTCTCTCTGTCAAATAAATAAATAAAATCTTAAAAATAAAATAAAATAAAACAAAATAAAAAGATACCAATCCTAATTTTTTTTAACATACTCATTGGAGAATGTCTTGAGTGAATTTTATAGATAATTTTGCAAGGTACTCCATAGGTGATCATTTGATTAAGTATGCATTTGAATTGTTGTAATGTGTGCTATGGAGGTTGAGCCCTTACTGCTAAAGACCTTAGAATTTTATTGGGTAGATGATTATACTAGGGCTGTTGGCTGGAGATTACAGAAACCTCCTTAACCCACTTAAATGGTAAGGGGACTTAGGATATGTTTATAGGATATCTCACAGAATCCAAGGATAGGGATGCAGCCTGCCGGGAACTCAGGGATTCCTGCTCCATCTCTTATCTCTGCTATTCTCTCTTTGTCTCTGATTCTTCTTGCACACTGGTTTTCTTGGTTTCTTAGTCTACATGGAAAAAAATGGTAATAGCCAAAAACTCCTGAGATTTACTCTTGCAATGAAGAGATCAGCTAGTTGGAAGTGGAATCCTACACCCAATTCTGCTTTGCCAGTGAAGGGCCTAATTTGTCTGTCTTGAATCAGGGTCTCATTCCTGGAGCTGGTAGACAGGAACAAGATCACATTAACCATATAGAAGTTGGAGGGAAGGGGTAATTTCTAGAAAAAGCGGTGCTAGTTAGAAAGCCCAATAAATATTTATCAAAGTACCGAAACACAATACAACTAATACCATAATGTACAAAATGATTTCTAAATTGACAGAAAATAAAATATACTGATAATCTTGTAAGCCAAGAGGTGAATGTGTGAATACATATGGTGTGTCTTGAGTTGAATCTTGAGTAATCCTGAGAGCTAATTAACATAGGTAGCAAAAAATAGATTTTTAAAATATCATTCATGGATGAACAAATTTCCATACCTTAAAGTTAATGAATTACTGATACATGTTATGACACGGCTGACTCTTGAAAACATTGTGCTATGTGAAAGAAGCCAGACACAAAGCACTACACACCATATGATTCTATTTATGTGACTGTCCAGAGAGGCATAGCCATAGAGACAGAAAGTAGATTAGTGGTTGCCAGGAACTGTGGGGAGGAGAGAATGGGGAGTGACTGCTAATGGGTACAGGATTTCTTCTTAAGGTGATGATAGTATTCTGGAATTAGTGGTGATGATTGCACAACCTTGCAGACATACTAAAAACCACTGAACTGTACACTTAAAATGGGTGAATTTAGTGGTATCTAAATTACAACTCTTTGTTTTTTTAA